CGGGTGTCGGGGGAGGGCGGGGCGGACAGACCCATTCCCGGAGTGCGGGGAAATCCTGCCCGTCCGACTGCTCGGGCCCAGGCCGTACTCAGGCTCCCTTGGGGTTCACTCACCAGCGACCGACTGGAGGATCCAGACGTCCGAGCGCGGCCCAGACTGCCTCACCAGCCGACCCCCGAAACAGTCCTGACAGACAGGACCATGGAGGAGAGGCCCTACCAGCCTAGAGAGGCAAAGCTCCTGCGACCCGGGCGCCTGCCGCGGCTGCGTAGGAAGGAAGCGTTTCCGGGGACGGCGGAGGAGGGGCGGGGCTGAGGTTGCGCAGGCGTCGTGGGCGCCAGCTTCGGCTGGGCCACCAAAACGGGGGTTTCGGCGCCGGGTAGGGAAGTGTGCGCATGCGTAAAAGCAAGAATGACGGCAATCGGAAGTGAGGCACGAGAACCGAAGAGCTTGCGTGCCCTCTAGAGGGGAATTTGGGAGAAAAGAGAGCAACTGGGGAGGAGAAGGAGTGGTAGCCCAGGGTGAGGAAGTGTTGACTCTTTAGCAAAGATTTCCAGTATTTTCTTTCCCCTGAAGTCTGGGATATTTGAAATTAATCCACCAGCTCTTCCACCTAGGATTTTGCCACCGTTCGTGTTTCACTAAGGGTGAGCGAAGGAAAGCAACGTACTGTCTCAAAGACGTGAGTCAGTGGCACTCGGGATTAGAATCCAGGCGTTGCCAACACCGCAGTATTGATTTTGTACCTACCGGGTGCCGGGAAAGTTTGGACTCATACTAAATGTCCCTGCCCTCAGACAAAACCTAGTTAGGCAGAGTAGTAGGTGTTGCGTCATGTATGAAAACAACAACACAGGGTCAGAAGTCCTGAAGGACCTGGGAGCGGACCCTGACTGCTTGCCGCCCTGACTGTTTTCCCTCAGCCTTCCTCTTTCGAGTCCAAAGAGTATGGGCAGCAAGTAAATATTTGCTGAGTGAGTAAGAAAAAGAAAGGGCAACAGCAAACTGATGAGTCACTTTATTCCTGCACCAGCAAACCCAAACTCCTCAACCTCATTGGTAATAGTTTTCCCCTCCCCAGAATGGGAAGAAGGGAAGTCACTGGTCCCAGAAAAGGAATCTGGATTTTGGAGCAGCTCTACTAGAAGTATAACTAGCTTCCTCCTTTAACCTTAGCTTCCCTGTTTATGAAGTGAGGAGTTAGACATTAATGTTTTCCAACATTTAATCTACCCTCTGCTAATGATTTTCCCATTTTAAAAAAGTGTCAAAGACCCATGTAACTACCAATCAGAACTTATGAACAGCATGTGATAACCATATTATCACCTTGGGTTGATACAATTCCAGACAAAAGTAAAGAAACTTGAGACTTTATCAAGAATAAGTATGTGATTTCCCTTATCATTTGGAAATACTGTAAACAGTTCGCTTGGACTCCAGTGTGGAAGTTATTAAGACCAGAGACTTCTGAGGGACTTTCCAGCTCAATCATTCTCTTACGTGCCTCAATTAAGTTCAATAAAAATACAGGGATGGGTGCACCTGGAGCCACACCACTCTCGCCCTCTCCATCGCCACATTCATTACATCCTGACATGCCTGGCAAAGCACACAGGCTAAGGAGAGGAACCAGCTGCTGCCAAACCTGAGGGCTGTGGGGTGGAACGAGCTGGAAGGCCAAGATGCCATCTTCAAGCAATTCCATTTCAAAGACTTCAACAGGGCTTTTGGCTTCATAACAACAGTAGCCCTGCAGGCTGAGAAACTGGACCACCATCCTGAATGATTTAACGTGTACAACAAGGTCTGCATCACCCTGAGCGCCCCTGAGTGTGCAGGCCTGTCAGAATGGGACATAAACCTGGCCAGCTTCATGGAACAATAGCAGTATCCATGACCTAGACCCTGCCATTCCTCTCTGAATTCTTCAGGGAAAGGGGTGACTGATCTGGAAATCCAGAAAGAGAACAGGGGAGCCCCAATATGCTGCTGCAGTCAAAATTGCCAAGTCCACCCTGCTGCCTCCAGTTAGGGGTGAGTTCTTGCTGTGGAAAGAGATGCCAGCATCACTGCCAACACCAGAAACTTAGACCATTTCCCCCACACCATGCCCTTCATCCTTGGGGCTTTATTAAATGTGCACCAATTTGATTAAGATCTTCCCATCCTTTACAGCTTCCCAGCAATAGTAATGATTTTCTTTCCAGGCTATATCTTGCTCCCTTTCTAATTCATTTCGCAAGAAGCTGTGATAGAAGCTGTGTCTCAGACAGACAGAATCTTATCTTAGAAACCAGAATCCTAATGCCAACCCCTTCTGTGTGACAGAAACACATGTGCTTTTATGCCTCAATTCAAACTATTGTTTCACTTGGAAAAAAATACGGGGGTGGGCAAAAGTAGGTTTACAGTTGTGAGTACTAGAAACAGTTTATTCTTGTATTATTTATTTACTATTTATTGTATTTTTTATTACTATTATCAACCTACTTTTGCCCACCCTAATTACATGATTAGTGTTTCTGAGAAAACATCTTTTTAGGTACCTACATGATCTTGTTTCATCCTCACAATCCAAGAAGATAGATGTTAGGGTCCTTTTTAAAAGTGGAAACTGAGGTTCAGAGGGGGCTGACTCTGCCTAGATCAGAGAGCTCATAGGAAGCTGAGCTGGAATTCAAACCCAGGATATCTGACGCCAAACACCAAGATACCATGCCAGAAGAAAAAAAAGAAAGGAAACTGAAATGAGTGTTGTAGTAGTGGGAAGTGGAAAAGGAACGGTGAAGCCCTCAGCTCAAATAGCTCTGGCTAAGGGATTAAGGGTGGTGGGAGGAGAGGCTCGAGGAAAGGTGCTTGAGAGGCTTAACTTCCTGAAAGCAGCTTCATCTTCCTTCCAGGTGCTGGAATGTGTGGCTCTTCCTGAGGTGTGTCTCCTGACGTCGAAGCTGGACCCTATCCACCCCATCTCCTCCTACCCTTTCTCCTGAAGTGGAATATGCCAGTAGCCTGGAGCCTGGAGTGTTGAAGCAGTCTGACTAGCTGGTGCTGGTAGCTGACATCAGAGCCTGGAATTTTGTTTCTGGGAAACCCCCAAGGGCCAGCAGGACAGCCTGTTGCAGTTTCCTTTTCCATGGAGGATTGCAGCTCTTGAATTCTCACCATTCCTAGCCCCAGAAATGGGCACCATCCTGTGTTTTTATTAAGGTACAAGGAAACCAAGCACTGGGGAAAACCACAGTAACTCCCTTGGCCAGGCTCCTTGGTCCATTTTAAGAATCTGACCACAGGCAGCTGGAGAAGAATGAGCTTTGGGTTCAGACCACAAAGCCTGAGCTAGGACTGGACTGGCTTGTCATGTGACCTTAGGCAGGTCCCATGCTGGTTCTTAGTATACCAAACTATAAACCCAGAGAGGGGCATTGGACTCAACTTGCAAATGCAGGCCATGGCCCTGTTCCATCTGAATCACCTTAGGAACATATCATGTAGCAGATTCCCAGGCCTTGTTACAAACCAAAGTCTGGATCTCCAGAAGCAGAGCGCAGAAATCTGTATATTTAAAGAGCTCCGCACGTGATTCGGGGGCAGCTATCTTTGGTAATTACAGAACAAGATCTGTAATTGACTTCAAACCAACTCTTCCTTCTAACAGAAAATTGCTCTGTGACCTTGCCATGTGCATGCCTCTCTTTGGACCTCAAGGTTTTTTTCCATCTGTAATATGAGGGGGTTGGACTAGAATAGCTGATCTCCAAGGGCCCTTCTCTCACGGCCAAGTTTGTGATTCCAAACTTATGAATGAAATTTTAAACTTCAGGTCAGAGGCAGAGTGACAAACAGCCACAAGCTGGGACAAACTGTTCCCCAGGAACTCCTCTGATCACTTGGTGACGTCACTTATGTAATTTCCACACTAGGCCCCCACTATGGGCAAGTAAGGACAACTGCTACTGGGGTCACTTCCAAATCCACCCCCAAAGCCCTTGGGAAATGTCCTCATATAGGTCTAAGGGCTTTGGAGCCCAGCTTGTATTTGAATCCTGGCTCTACTACTATCTCGCTGGGTGACCTTGGGGGAGTTACTTCATCTCTGTGGGTCTGTTTCCTCCTCTATTAAATGAGGATCAGAGTA